AAAAAAAATATCACAGCTGTGTAATAAATCATACCAACATTTATTTTAATTTATTTTAAAATGTTGCTAGGGGCTTTTTATCATATGCCTATGCATGTAAGTGACTGTGCTTTTTTAAGCTAGCAGAGTGAAATGTATAACACAATAAGAAGCATTTTATCTGACATAACAACAGTGGCCCTGTGTTTCAATTAGGGTGGGCAGCATAGAGGACAGTCCAGTTGTCCTCTGTCCTCTGTTGATATGAAACTGGATGCCTTTACGTCCCCTATTTCGCTCTTCAAGAGAAAAATAGAGGACATAAAGGTGTCGGGTTTCGTATCAATAGAGGACAGAGTAGCAGAAAACCGGAATGTCCTCTCTGATGGCCACCCTAGTTTTAATGACCACATCATGCACCACCTCCAAATGAAAAAACTGACAAGAGAGGCCAAACTGACACTCTGGCTGGTGAAAATTAAGCCTTCACTGTCAGAGCTACCAAATCATGAAGGAAGTGCAGGGTACTTATCAAAGGCTCATCTACATGAATTTGTATTTTCTTTCTCTTCCACTGGTTTCAAGTGCTATGTGTGAGAGTGGCCATACCATCTAAGCCTGGGATGTTAATGCAATGTTATTGTTCTCAGAGATGGTGTTTTCCATGAGGTCAGGTGAAATGGAGGGTGCGGTACACTGGACCTGGTGGGTCACTATTTTCTGAAGTCCTTCTGTCTGCTGCTTCAGTATTTTTATAACGTTCTCTTGCTGGGCCATCCTTCTCTTTCACGGTTCTCTCCACTCCTTCTCATTCTATTGCTTCCTGGCTGATCCTGTACAGTTTAATAGCCCCATTAACAGATCCTATCTGAAATGTTTCTTTTGCTTCTTCATCAGAGGTTGCTATTGAGAGAAGGGCTCTCAAAGACACTCCTGAGGACTCACTCATCAGCTGAGGACACTGATTAAAAAAGGAGATGGAGAGCTAGTTGTATCTGAAGTGAAGGATATATACCTATAAACACTTCCCCAAACTTTTTGCTATGAAGTTATAATGGGCAAAGTTGCTGGGACCAGACAACTGGCTTATGAGTGGGGAAATAACATTGTGATGTTGTGAGAAGAGGGAAAATACAGGCCAGAAAGCTTCTGAAAGGCAAAGCAAAATAGCTAGCCAGCCTAAGAGGAAAAGAGCCAGCAGCCTAATGATTCATCAATTAAGCAATTTGCTGCTCCTTCACTGGTGCTCGGTCCCTCCCAGTGCAGGACTTCATGCGAGCTGTGTTGTCTGGCTGGGCTTGCCTCCTCCCCACCCGGTCAAAGGGCCCCAGGAGCTGAGAGTGGTGCCCAGCAGCAGCTGTGTGGGAGCTGCTGCACATTGATTAATCATTTAAAGAATATAATTACAGGAGGTTAAACAAACATTTTTTTTTAAATGATATGTACATCCCTACTCCTCACAGTCCCAGTCTTAAAAGCAACAGTGTCCCTGGAAGTGCTTACAGAATGGCATGGAAGTGCGTCCATGGTGGAAGAAACAAAGTAGTTTCAGCCAAAGTCCTCAAGGGAAGAATAAGTGTGGTGCTAGAAGTTAACTTAAATAGGCATTAAGGGCCCTTAAATTAGGAGTGTCCCCACATTAGGGCAGGGAAATATGTGCTAAAGGCCTTCTGAGCAGTTCAGAGATAATCCTGCTCCACTGAGGTTTCTCTCTAACTGGTTTTAGGCAGCTCATTTTGCAGTCACATGCGACTGCTCCACAGACCCAAAACCAGTTTGGAGGGGTTTTCCAGTATCAGGAGAAACTGCTCCCAGCTGCTCTATCTGCAAAACAGGCAATGTGGTTGGCCAGTGTGGGGCAGGGAGGCAGGTGGCATGGCAGGCCCAATTTAGATGGGGAGGGGGACAGGCAGTGCCCAGTGTGTGTGTGTGTGTTTTGGGGTGGGGGCAAATACTTGTGGCCAGACTATGTTTGCATTTCAAGGAGAAAAACTAACCCATTACCTCTGTCCATGGAAGCCTGCCCAAGAGAACTGCACATGCAGTGAAACATCAGTTTGGGGGCAGACTCGTACACCGGCCCTGTTTTCTACCTAGAAAGTTTGCTTCACCAATGAAAGGGAAAGGGCGCAGATGCCCATACAGTTACTGGCAGCACCAGAACTTGCCCTTTGTATTCTGTGTGCCCAGGGGGGGTTATCATTTTCAAATGGGAGCTGGGGGGTGGAGGGGAAGCAGGAATAGATGAGTGGAGGGCAAGCACGCGTTGAGAGGGAAAGCAACATCACAACACTCACTACATCTGTCTTCACCTTTCTCACTGGCTCTGGTTCTGGCTGTTCTCCATTTTGAAGAGTCTGTCTCTGGATGGAAGGAGGTGATTACCTCTCTCCTCCTCATTCAAAGAAGCTGTGTCCTCTTTCCTGCTGTGGGGCTTTTTTAGATGTTCCCTCCTCAGGACCCCAGGAAGTGTCTTCTGTCATTGGGTGGAGGTTAGGTCCTCAGACAAGTATGCAGTAAGGCTCTTTATAGAAGGGCCAAGTGACTGGCATGAGCCCAACATTTTCATTCTGCAAGATCTTCCTGTGGTATGTCCGGGCCTTGGCTCAACACTGCTTTTCATCACTGTCCTCTTCTATGTCCTTGTAAACATATGTCCCTGCATTTATTGACGAGCTGTGTTTACACGGCCTCTCTCCCAAAATGCCGAGGGCATCCACCACTTCTTTCTTCTCCAGGTTGGAGCATGGGATTTCAAAGCCCATTTCTCTGCAACGCTTGGTCACAGGGAAAGAGGCTTTTCCGAAACAAAGGGACATTTCAAAGGGGCCTCTTGTTTGTTCTGGAAATCTTGGTGAGAGCAGTCAGCACATGGTATTGTGGGATTGCTACTGAGGAACTGCTATTGCTGAGAGGAGCAAAGCTTTGTGTCAGTGACTATGTATGTTGGCTAAGAGCTCAGGGTGGTGGTGTTATTCAGGCAATACAGACCCGATGTCTTGTCAACTTTCAAGCACTTTGTGTGTGCATGCAAATTTTTGTCAGTGGATTTCAATTTCCATTGACAAAACTTCCTAGTGTAGAGCGATGGCTTAATCTGTCAGTGTCTCACTGCCCCACCTGCAGAATGGAGCTAATCTATCTGCAACCCTTGCACAGCCAGGAGAATACATTCATTAATGTAGACAGGGCATGTGACTGCTGCAATAGGGTGACTGCCTCTTTTTTTCTTTTTATTGAAACTCCCTCCTCCATGGCAAGGCCATGCTAGTAGCTGCAATTTGACACTTGCTGCTTCACAAGACAGTCACAGATGTTCTTAAAGTCAAAAGACATGCCAAGCCTTTTTTCAGGAAGGCAGGAGCTATTAAGTCCCTGTAGGTAGTAAAAACAACCATAAACAATGCAGGGACTATGCAATGCAGTTGACTGGTCCAGGCCAAGCCAAGTGGGCTTGTAGTTCTTCCACAGTGCAAAGTCGGAGCTAAGCTGGGTTTTGCAGGTGTGTTGGTGGTGGGGACAAAGGGAGAGGGAGACAGCAGAAACCCAGATGTACAGAACTGAGTCTGCCAGTTTTGTTAGATGTATAGTGTCAGTTTAGCTGTAGTTTTCCAATTATTATTCAAAGGCAAGTGGGTTTCCAGCAGAGAGACCATCAATAGGGGAGGACAAGAAATAATAGGCACAAACTGACTGAAGATCACTTCAGGCTAGACATAAGGAAAAACGTCTTTACAAGCTGAGTGCCGAGGGTTTGGAACACGCTACCCCCAGAGGTGGTACAGTCATCCACCCTGGTGATCTTTAAAAAATGTCTTGATACCCATCTTGATGGAGTCATCTTATCCCAGAAGTCTTTCCTGCCTAAGTGCAGGGGGGCTAGACCCGGTGATCTGTAAAGTCCCTTCCAGCCCCTAACAACTATAAAACTATTTGGCCACAGCTCACTGGAGCTGCCAAGCTTTGGGATTTTTATGCAAGGAAATGCCTTGTTGATGGATTTTTTCCTTGGCTTTAGGGAAACAAGAGCTTGTGTATATCTTTTTATTCCTAAACAAACAAAATTATACTATAGAATATACCTGCATCCTATAAGTGATTTTTCATCCTGATTGAAACAGCACCATAAGGCCTTCAGCATTGGCTTACTTAGACCAAAAGGCAACAGTAAGACTAAAATCTATGGCACCACACACACAGAGCCTGCTTACCTTCAATAACATCATCATAGTGAGCAATAAGGCAGAAAAAGTCAATATTCCTCCCATTAATTTATTTCTATCATCTCTTCATTGGCAACACACAGAGCTTCAAAAATTATTATTGAACGTCAACTGAGAGAGACTTCCAATGGAAGCTGCTGGAAGCAGAAAATGACTCTATATTTCATTGGTGATAAAATAAGGGGACTTCCTATTGATTATGTATTGCCTCTTGAAGATGATGAAGAACAGAGTTTCTTTGTCCGTCTCACTGTCAGAAATGCATCTCAGAGTGTAGGATGTTATACATGATAGTGGCACCGTGTGGATACTATTCAGAAGGAAATAACCATCTTTCTCCTAGAATGAATAGGCAAGCATGGAAGAATAATTCAACAGAATATCACCCTCCCCCCTTTGTCTTATTTGGACTGGTGTGAGGTCTGAACTTAGTGAGCTGTGGCTATTAGGAAACCTTTGTGTCATAGTTATGGAAGACATACACTGAGATCTTCTGTGTCACCGGTCCAGTTATCCATGTCCTTTAAAGCGTCTAGAGCTGCTAATTCCCTACTCTGGTAGGCACCCCAGTGCATCTATCAGAGTCTCAAGCCATTCCAATACTTTGAAATATGCCCAAGAGCAAATTTAGGATCACTTGAGTTGCTGTCAAACTTACATGCATGTAAACAGTAACCAGTTTAGCCTATTTCCTAACCATCTCAACATCTGTTTCCAAATGGATTAAGACGTGTTTTTAATTAGTAAAAGACCACATGGTTTTTGTTTTAATGTAACCTTTCTTTACTTCAGAAATACCTGAATTGTTGCATGGAGCTGTCAGAATCTCTGCTTCAAAGTTCATTCTGTGGAACCTATTCCTGTATGGAAAATACAACCTTTCAATTATTTGTAGAACCTACATTGATACTGAAAATGCCTAGAAACTGCAGAAAAAATTCCAAGATAATCTTCCTTCCTTTATCGTCAATAGTAACTGTGCTTTAATACCAGGATAAAAATAATCAACTTCATTTGTCAGCTGATTCCCTATGAAGGCCAAAATGCATTTAATACCAACATCGAGATTTACACAATAGGCCCAGGCACGTGAGTCTTCTAAAGAAATGGAGAGCCAATATCAGTGCAGGGTGCTAGCTCACCTGATCTGACATGTGCCGCATGCTCTTTAATCATGACCAGAAGTAACAATGATGTCACAGAATTCAACATACATTTTACCATTGACTTCAGAACAAGGTTCCTAGGTTTGAAGCAATACAAGTACAGATTGTTATAAACAATTCAAATTCCAGGACTGATTTTCCTTTGGTTTTAGCTTTTTACTTTATTATGGATGGGTATGGATGAGTCACATGTGAATCTCTCTGGCTCACTTTTCTCACTTATAAAGCGAAGGTGAGATTTAAATGATTGTATAAATAGGAGAGGATATGTGAAGTGCAGCAAAGGAGACGTGACAAGCAAAGTAAATTTGGAGTCATGGCCAAGGGGAACGACAATGGAATTGAGGATATGGACATAACAAGAACTTACTGTGAGAAAAAAGGGTGTGAGACCCTGTCACGCACTCATTGCTCTATGTAGGTGCCTGCCATGCAGTCTCTTTTGCCCACAGCACATAAGGTAAACTAGAAACTTAACCTTCAACAGAAGATGGCTACAGCACTGCAGTTTAACTTTCACTTACCATGGAGTAACTGGGTGCACATGGGCAATTATTGTGAAGCAACTGTTCTATGGCAAGGTTTTTACCCACTTTTATGGTGCTATAAATTGTTTATACATCCATACCTTGAGCTGCACTGGGAGAGGAAAGGAAAGAGAGAGAGATAGTAAGAGAGGGATGAAATGGATGCCCTTTACAGCACTGTTTCAGCACTGCCAAGGATAAGACTCAGGTAGGTTTTATTATACTGACTCCTGCTCCCAAGCTATTAGAACGTGCTTCAGGAAATAAAGATTGCAAAAAGGAGAATTCACCCATAACTTCCCATTGGAGACACTAGCAGGAACACTAAACAATAAAAAATATATTTGGGAGGAATTCAAGAGCAAGGTTCTGCTTTCTAGAAGTAACTGTGTACATATTGTCATTAGCAAAGAGGGAGCTGAGACGTGACAAAATGCTCAAATTGCACACAGTTTAGGTTGATGAAGGCTTGGAAAGTGTAGGGTACTCCAGAGCACCCATAGATCGAGGGTGCTGCAAAGTATTGCAAGAGGTTTTAGTTAAAATCACAAGTGAATAGCTTCTTACTCTCAAGGTGTAGATACTAATTGCAAGTTCACCAAACAAACCTGAAATCCATATCATCAGCTCCAGTGTGGTCACAGGCTAACTCTCCATTTACTTCCTCACCTAGTCTATTGTCTTTTACTTGCTCAGTTTGATAAAATGAGCAAGGTCATTTTCAGAATAAATCTTCCACTTAACTTCTGTGAAGCAAGATAGGTTCCCCAGCATAAGGAGGAGAAAGTTAAGTTCAGGTCAGCAGGGAGGCTGCCAAATATATATACAGTGCTTCATTTCTGACCGGTCAAACGTTTCCAGCTATCTTAAGACAACTTGCCAAGTGTCTTGAGTCAAGCGTAGTGTACAGTGCATGAACCTACCAGTATAAAAGTCACCAAGTTAGACTTTCCAACCAAAGCTTCCACAAACCTGTGTCTTTAACCACATGGTATGATTTCTAAGATTAATAATGGCTACAGGGAAGAAGTTGCATAGATTTAAAAGAAAAAAAAAAGGCTTATTTACCTATATCAGTAAATGGGCATTTTCTTAAAAACCAGCCTAATATAAAATATGATCTGAAAACTGACTGCATAACATTGTACCCTTTATTTAATAGTTTTGCTCTCCATGGGTCAGAGCAGGGGTAAAATGCACTGGCCAGTATGTTGAGCATGTTACAGTGTCCTGCTGCCCCAGCTGATCCTCTGGGAGCATAATTGTCATACTGTCTCAAACAGACCAATATCCAATGCTTCTGAGGACAGGACAAAGAGCTGTAGTGTCTACTTCCTCATAGACTAACTTTGGTTAAGGATGAGGTTTAGTATCTCTTGGTGATTAACATTTCTATTCTTATAGCCACAATGCCTCCTGGATAAACTGAGGCATGGGAAGGGAACATGACACCTTTGGTCACATTATGAGTCAGTGGTAGAGAACAAATGAGGCAGCCATTATGTCTTGCTCCTTTTTATGACATAATGCTGTTATCTATCATTTTAATTTTTTGCACTACACTTTTGCAATGTTGTATTAAAGGTTTCTTACCTTTTCATCTCAGGCACTGACTCCATACTTTGGTCTTGTCCACGTCCTTGCTTTTCTGGACTTGGTTCTTTGTTTCTTCTTTCTTCTAGTTTTATAAAAGTTTCAGCTGGCGTCTGCCCCTAGATTACAGTATATATTTGGCGCTGCCTTCTAAGCTCTGGTGGTACTACTGAGTATTCCTCTCATCCAAGCTCAAGCTGAAAAATGACAACCTGCTCTGGTTCAGCATAACTAAAGGTTAGCGACAGATTTGACTCTTAAGTTAGCGTTTCCACCTGTTCTTTTACTGTGTCAGCCTTGTAAGCTACCAGAGAGTTTTCAGTGACCTCTAGTGTTTGGTACAGATTTTACTGGCACCTGTCATCACAGCTGAAATCTGATCCACAAAGACAAATATAGCATGTTAAGTCATGTAATTTACTGTGCAGAATGTCTAGAAAGCTGGCTCTTATCAGCAGAGAGGGGGGAAAACTATGTTGGATATGACCTGTACTTTTCCCAAGAAAGAAAGAGATGAATTAAGATCTCAAATCAGTGACAAGACAGGGCTTGGAGTTAAAAATTGACCGTATGTGTTAATGGATAGGGTGCTCAAATCAGACTCGGGAGACGTGGATTCTATTCCTGTCTTGGTTATTAACTCACTCTGTGACCTTGGGCCATGTCTCTGTTTCTTTTTTTCCAGTCAGCCTAAGTCTACTCTATAGACTTAGATTTTTAAATTATTTGGGGCAGGAACTCTCTTACTATTTGTCTGAATAATACCTAGTACTACTGAGGTGCTACTATAAATGCAATATTTCAAGTCAAGTTAATTTACAACAATAATCTGTTGCTCCTCTTAACTGGTGAGAAAAGGTACATTTGTGATGAAATGTAATGTCAGCAGATCTAGGTTCTGTTCCTGGTTCTGCCCCAGATTTACTTAGAGAACTCAGAAAAGTCCCTTAAGCTCTTGTGCCTTGGTGTCCTCCCCTGTAAAACAGGAAACATTAGAGAGAGTATTTGTCTGTGGTGCTGTGTTGTTGTGAGCATCATTAATATTCCTAAGATGCATTGTGCTTCCTGTTAGACTCTTAGTGTTGTGTTAGGCTAGGGACAGACGTTACACACAAACTGGTTCAAGTGATCAAAAACTGGTTTAAACCTGCAACAGAACAGATGCTCAGTGCACATAAACCAATTTGAAAATGGCTGAAACTGGTTTAAGATAAATCTGGTTGAATGTAATATCAGACTTAACTGATTTGGGTCAAGCTGGTTCATGCAATGTCTGTCCCAGACCCCTTACATTC